CAAAGGTTTCCCAGATATAATAATCCCCACCCCACAAGAGCTGGGTTTTTTTCCTCACCTATCCTGTAATCTCTGCCCACACAGATTCTATTCAGGTAACTTCTATATTCTTCTGTATTGCAGTTTACTAACCACAGCTAACTTCATATTGCTCCAGGAAAGCCAGGCAGAAATTATATTTACCAATCTGTCCCATCTATATTTAAAGTAGCCAGCCATTGAATACAGTTTTGTTCATTAACTGGAACACAGCATCTATGCAAACTGTGCAAGTATTTTTAAAGATTAACTCTGAGTTGTCAGAATACATAGCATCTTGGGAATCGCAATATATCCACAAATGAGGGGGGATTTGGGGAAGCCACAGGATCAGTACCAATATAAAGAATGTAGTATGATTGTATTTAATGAATAGGCACTTAAACAAAGCTGTGAAATATAATATATTCATAAACAAGGTTGCTAAATATATAATACAAGGATATGTATGCCCAATGCCTGGTTTTAGTGAAGCAACATCTCTCTGAGAGGAGGAATTCAGAATAGAAAAACTTTCAGAAAGAGAGAAACTCTAATGCTTTTTCTACCTATTATTTTCAGTGGCTTTTTCATTCTTAGGTATGCAAAATGAAAACTTGCAAAGATAAAGATGAATTTGAAATGGGAGTAAAGGATATTTGGAATTAGAAGTTGAAAAAAGAAATATAAAAGGAATGAAATTTCCCACACGTAAAGATTTTAATCATTCTCAATCAGTCTTGAAGGTGAGTTGGACAACAATTTCTATTGAACCATGTTGATTGTGCATGTTGATTACAAAACACATTTGCAAGGGACCTGGTTGAGAAAGGCTGATCTGCCCCTATTATTTGCTAAACTAAACTTATCCCCTTCTTATAATAAAGTAAAATGAGACTATCTGGGAGACATCTTCCTTATCAGGTAGCAAAGAATAAGAAAGCCGAAAATCTAAGAGACTGAGCTAAAATACTCCAGTAAATCAAAGGCTATGATGTGTACAGAACTTGACAGTAATATGGGCATGGTCAAGTTCCATATTGTTAGTCAGCTGGTTATTCAGATGGAAGAACATGAGATAAGTCAGCTGGCTTATTCTTGGGTTTTGGACACTATGTAGACAGTTGTAGACAATCTGCAAATCTCTCGCCCAGAGACTGCCAAAATTATGACATGTTCTTACACTGAAAAGAAGCAAGAATCCCTGTCAGCCCTATCTTTTATAAGGCAACCTCATTGCCTCAAACATCAGTTATTGCAACAGTTTAGTCTACTTAATATAAAGCAGGGGGTGATAGAGAATATTTTTGTATCCAGAGAGTATAGCATTTAATAAATTTCTTTCAGTGATCAAGAAGATGCAGATGTTATGATGGTAATGTGATGATCTTATTTCAGAAATAGAATTTTTGATCCTTTCTTCATTTTTAGAGCAGTAAACAGTGGTATCTTTAACATTAATAGGCACATCAAGCTGTTAAGAGATTAATGTACCAGGAATGTGGCAACACAATTAATTCAAGTCAATTAATCTTTATTTAAAGCAAGGCTTCACAAACAGCCTTCTTGAGAGATTTTTTTTAAGCTAGCTTCTTGAGGTTGAGATGAAATATTGGAATGAGAAAGATATACCTCTTTCATGTGAACTTAATCAGATGTTAGATTTTTCTCTTTACAATTTAGCCAGGAAACATTTAACCCAAGGAACAACAACACCAAAGCTCTAATTAATAGTATTTATTATAAAAACTGCAAAAGATAATTTATTTAATACATAGCAAAAGAACTCCAATAAATTCCGAGGAGATGCCCATTTATAGACAATAAAAACTTTTGTCCATTTCTTTATACATTTTTTAAGTTGAGAGGTGGAGAATGGCCTCTTTCTGAAGGTGGGACAGTCTGTATCTATGTCCATCATTTTGGTACCTGTTCTTCCTCTTATCATTATGAAAAATAATTCTTGCACCAGACTCAGAAAAGTTTTTAAAAACAAAAGCCTAATTTAAGATGTGGTTTGCTGATCTTTAGTCAACAAAGTTGAACTGCATCATCTGGTTTCTTACAAATGTATCAGAATGGACTTGTGTCTCTACAAACTCTAGGTATGATATACCTTATACCAGTTTTTGTTAAAAGGGAGCTAGGTATGTTGGAAACAAATGTAGACAGCTCTCAGAATTCCCAGCCATGCTGCACTTTCAGATCTGTCATTAATTATGAAAGCATCTGGTTGTGATTGGCACTGAAAATGTTATGCATGTGTGTGTTTTTTTAAAATAAAAATAAATAAATGAATATGCCTAGTGCTCTAGATTCATTGGTAGCAGTATTTTGTTGGGAAACAATCTTGAATTCTAATGTTTGCATCCCATACTTTATCAACATCTTCCAAAGAACTCTCTAATTGTAACCTCTAACTCTGAGGATTATACGGAATGAAAGCAGTAAATAAGGAATCAATGAGAATAACTCCCATAAGTGAAGGTGAGTATTAGGAGATAGATGTACTCTGTATATAAATTCAGAGCTGCCTAAATGGCTCATGTGAGGGCTCATTTAACTCGGAATGCAAAAGGACTAATAGTTAAGAGGATTTCTCAGATATTCTTACAATATTTATTCAAGTCAGTTCAGGATTATTTTACTATTGTAGTTAAACTGTAAATTGAAAATCCAATTTTCCCCTCAGTGTGCTGTCAAGTTAAAAATCAAACACTAAATTAGTGTTTCTCAAACTTGATATCTTTAAGAAGTTTGTCAACTTCCAAATTTCCCCAGTAAGCATACTGGCAGAGATCTGGGAATTGAAGTCCAAACATATCAAAGTTGACAAGTTTGAGACATTGCACCAACCAAGAAAATGATTCATATCCCAGGAACTTTTGTGAAATAATTCATCAGTGATAAACTTGATCATATTTCAACTAGTTACTCAGAGATAAGATGGAAGAAAAGCTAAATCTGTTGAGAACTTGCAGGGAACCCTTTACAAAATTGAACATTCTTGAAGATTGGCTTGTATTTGTAAAAATTACAACATCTTCCAAATCAGTATATAATTAATTCAATAGGTAAGGGATATTTTTCAGATTTGTAGAACAATGTTGTGTCATTTTTCTGCATTACGCATGAGAGGTGTAGCTGTATTTTATGCTGAGTACATCCATAGCTTTAAGGGAAGTATAGGAGGGAAGAACCAGAGATTAGATCCAGAAATCTTTGAGTCAGTGACACCCACAAGTCCACACCCATTGCAAGTTGAGTAACTTGTGTTTACTTTGCAATTCATTTATGCAAAACTAAGGTGAGGTTCAAGCTGAATTCAACTTTTTTTTAGTCCATGCAGCATAAAAAAGTTGTAAACATTTCTTTTAAGGAGCTGTTTAATATATAGGCATGGAGGATACCTCAAATAGTTAGCTTTCTCAAAGAGGGCACCCATGCTTCAGATGTAATTTTCCACAGTACTCTGTACTAATTACAAATATGGATGGACAAGAGCAACATTATATCCTATAGAGCAAATGTCTTCAATCTTGGTATGCAAATTCCAACTTTTCAGCGATACATGAGCTGACTGAAGAAATCTGGCAAATAAAGTATGCAGGTTGGGAAATGGGGTCATAGAAATATAGCAATAAAATGTTCTCTTTCAAAGGATGTGCAGTCCAATGTTAGCAGTAGAAGAATACAGAGGCAATTATTGGAAATACAAGAAAATAGCTGACTGAATTTTATTTCAATACTGGTATTGGATTAATATTGCTAAGGGAGCCAGATCTTTTGTGAAAAAAGCGCATTGATCTATCTATGCATTGATACATTTATATTTCACTTCACTCTGTTCTTCTTCCCTGCACAGGGAGGATTTGATATAGCATAGCCTGAATTACCTTGACACAAGATAAGAAGGAAACATGTTGTGAACAGGACAGATTGCTCAGCTTTGTATATATAGAAACAGAGCATGGAACCAGTTTTAGATATTTGTGCAACAAAGAATAAAAACAAACATTGATCCACTCTTCCTCATTTCTTCTTGAGCTTATTTTGGAATGACACAGAAAAGTGGATCCTGGGCTAAAAATTAAATATAAAAAGGAAGCAGAGTCCTCTGAAATATTTTTTCAAGACTAATTCCATAATTAGGGGACATGGTAAGCAATAAGAAGTCCTTATGGGCACAAATTATATAATTTGGTGACCTTTAAAGGCCCCATTTATGAAGAATTTTATTATGCAGTTTCCATCTATTGCATTGGTCTTTGCATTCCATTCCTCTGGACAATCCCTGGCTGAAGCAAATAAGTGTTGCATGGTTGCCTTGGTGGAAGAGATTTTAAATTTGCCAGATTATCATGAACACTCTGCATTCCAAATGAATTCAGAGTTAATACCCACGCATCTGAGCCTGAAGGCTATTATACCACAATTACAGGTTACAAGAGAGAATTACCATCTAGAGAACAAGTCTTTTGCTGTCATCACCAGAGGCCACTAGCACATATCCATCTAAAGGCCTCCTGATGGCTGCAATCAGAACAATTCTAATCCCATATGAAATGACAAACATTTGATTAAATTGTCTCAGGAAATCAACTTCTCATTGTGCTCTTTAAACAGTGCTTTTACAGGAGCTACAATTGGAATCTGCTGTACTCATTCTTATGTTTAATTATTTGAGACGGTGCAAAGATCCAAGCTGCTAGCTTGGTTTTACAGGTTACAACATGTTTCCATTTCATCCAGTCATTCTTACCAAATACGTAGCGTAGTTTTCTAACTGAATTGTTGTTTAATATAGATCTCTTGGAGTACAAATTAAAAGTGCCCACCAATGCCACCCCCAAAAAAGGTCTGATGGCTGGATCAGTTCTACAGTACAGAGCCTGTTCAGGTGAAAGTCCACAGGTAAAGTATAAATCACTTTTCCTTTTCCTTCCCACTCTGCTTTGAAAACTCAAAGAAGTCATACTGACCTGAGGTTTTCAGGCTGTCAGAGTTGACCTCTTGCGTGAAGATCCAAGGAGGGTTGGTGGCAAAGAGAGAACTTGTAGAATTGTTGCTGGCATGCTTTTTCCCAAAGAGTCGGCTAAAGGTTCCCTGGACTGAATTATGCTTCTTCATCCTTATTTCTGCTTTCCTTAGTGTTTCTTAGCTCCTCCGCTTAGAAAAACATATTTCCAGTTTCCTCAGTTACCACCCAGCACACAGAGCTCCAGCAGGTGTTAGTCTGAGGAACTCTCTTTTCAGCTGCTTTAAAGCTAAACCACCTGAGCAGGTAGAGGGCTGGCTGCTGTTGCCTGGCCACACCCCACAGCAGCTCCTTCCGTCACATTCTTTCCTTGCTGCTACAATAAGTCATTGTTAAGCCCAAAACAGTTTGTTACCTGTGAACTGGTGAAGGTCTTCCCCAAGGCAATGCCACGTCCCAAATATGACTATAAGCTTTACAGTGCTTCCCTGGAAAACTGCAAAAAAACAAGCACACTATCCAGATGTTCAGATTAAAACCAAGTAAACATGTATGTATTTGTTAGCAACATAGATTCTCCAGCCTGCCAGGTCAATATTTATTCAACTTTATAACCTTCTCTGTTTGTTAAAGGTTTAGAAGCAACATTTGTAAATGTGCATTTTTAAAGAAAAATTGCTATATTTTCTTTTTAAGTAAGTTTCATGCATGCAAGAGAACTCAGCCATGGCGAAATAGAGATCTTCAAGGGCTACTGAAAATCTGGAATGTGACCATCCTATGCCATCCAAATATTATCACCAAATTGTCATGTTTAATCTCATTGAAAGGGACAATGATGAATATAATATATATTAGAGCTGCTGAAGCAGGTGCTTCAGGGTACACAAGCATATGTACTATTTGTAGGAACTCCCTAAAGCAAACATGTCTTTTTGGGAGAGCACAGTGCAGCTGCGGAAAGTAATCACACAGTCCTGGGGAGAGGAAAAGTTGCTTCAAAGAGCTGCAGACAGGTGCTTACATGAGCACCTCTAAAGATTCCAAAGCACTACATGAAGTGAAATCAAATTTTGTTCACCTGATCCCATTCATATTTTGCAGGGCAGCTTCCCTAGGAAGATTTTATGTGTGGAGGTATCTAGACATGATCCTGAAAGAATCTTTTATGAAGGACTTAAAGAAGCAATTATATACAAGTAGACCTTGGCAGATGATACCACTCTAATGGCAGAAAGTGAAGAGGAACTAAAGAGCCTCTTGATGCGGGTAAAGAAGGAAAGTGCAAAAGTAGGCTTGAAACTCAACATTAAGAAAACCAAAATCATGGCATCCGGCCCTCTCAATTCTTGGCAAATAGATGGGGAAGAAATGGAGGTAGTGACAGATTTTATTTTTCTGGGCTTAAAGATCACCTCAGATGGGGATTGCAGCCAAGAAATTAAAAGACACTTGCTCCTGGGGAGGAAAGCTATGGCAAATCTAGACAGCATACTAAAAAGCAGAGACATCACCCTGCCCACAAAAGTGCGTATAGTCCAAGCCATGGTTTTCCCAGTTGCAATGTATGGCTGTGAAAGTTGGATCATAAGAAAGGCTGAGCACAAAAGAATTGAGGCCTTTGAACTATGGTGCTGGAGAAGACTCCTGCAAGTCCCTTGGACTGCAAGGCGTTCAAACTGGTCAGTCCTAGAAGAGATCAACCCTGACTGCTCTTTAGAAGGCCAGATCCTGAAGTTGAAACTCAAATACTTTGGCCACCTAATGAGAAGGAAGGACTCACTGGAAAAGGGCCTAATGCTGGGAAAGATTGAGGGCAATAGAAGAAGGAGACGACAGAGAATGAGATGGCTGGATGGAGTCACTGAAGCAGTAGGTGAGAACTTAAATGGACTCCAGAAGATGGTAGAGGACAGGAAGACCTGGAGGAACATTGTCCATGGGGTTGCGATGGGTCAGACACGACTTCGCAATTAACAACAACAGACCTTGGCTTACAACAATTTGGATTAGAATTTCAGTTGCTAAATATGAATAAAGTCACATCTGATTTTACTACTTTTTTGCCATCGTTGTTAAGTGAATCACCATAGTTAATAAATCACATAGTTGCTAAGCAAATATGGCTTCTCCCATTAACTTTGTTTGTCAGAAGCTGCCTGGGAAAGTTTCAAATGACCCTGGAAGGCTGCAACTTGCTGGTTCCAAGCACCTGAATTTTGATCACATGACCATTGGGATGCTGCAATAGTTGTTAAGTGTGAGGACCAGCCATAAGTAACCTTTTTTCAGTGCCACTGTAACTTTGTACAGATTTTAAACAAATGGTTGTAAGTCAAGGACTATCTATGGTCTAGAGCAGTGTTTCCCAAACTTGACAATTTTAAGGCATGAGGACTTCAACTCCCAGAATTCCACAGCCAGCAACACTGGCTGTGGAATTCTGGGAGTTGAAGTCCACATGCCTTAAAACTGTCAAGTTTGGGAAACACTGGTCTAGAGCAATGTTTCTCAACATTTGCATTTTTAAGACGTGTGGACTTCAGCTCTCAGAACTTCCCAGGTAGCATGCTAGTTGGGGAATTATGGGAGTTGAAGTCCACATATCCTTAAAACACCAAGATTGAGAAACACTGGTCTAGACTCTAAAGCAAGTATGAGAAGAAACTCAATGGTTGTTTCTATAAGATGGGGCATAGAAAATGACCAGTTTCCAAATTTCTCTTATTATATCTTACTACAATAAAGAGGACACCTGGAATACCTGTGGTTTGTTGAACCTGGCCTACTCAAAGGGCTGTGGTTGCCCACAGTTTTTTCATTGGGGACAAAATTAACACTTTAAGCCAAAAGCTGCAGAGACAAGGCAATGATCCAAAAAGGATGGAGCCCTATATACATCAGTGGATCCACTGCCCTTTTTCCCCTGACCTTTGAGAAGATATTGGATAGTTTTTTAAATTTAATTAAGCCTATTATAGGACAATTTTTAATGGTTAGGAAACATAGCTGAAACAAGCAAAATTGTCATACATTTATCAGAAAAATCTATTTGAAATATGAACTCAGCTCTAGAAAACTGAGTTGCCTGTGAAGGCCTCAGCATAGTTGCACTTCAAAGAAACAATTTTATGGGCCACTTTAAAAACACAAATAGGGTTAATTTCTCAAATGTACTGATGAGATCATTTGGTGACAGCTAAATACATCTATTCAGAATAAAAAGTAGAGATTTTAAAAAAAGTTTAAGCTTTTTAAGTTAATGCTAGGCTGCATTAGCAGAGGGATAGAATCAAGATCACGTGAAGTGTTAATACCACTTTACAATGCCTTGGTAAGGCCACACCCAGTTTTGGTCACCACGATGTAAAAAAGATGTTGAGATTCTAGAAAGAGTACAGAGAAGAGCAACAAAGATGATTAGGGGACTGGAGGCGAAAACATATAAGGAACGGTTGCTGGAATTGGGTATGTCTAGTTTAACGAAGAGAAGGACGAGGGGGGACATGATAACAGTGTTCCAATATCTTAGGGGCTGCCACAAAGAAGAGGGAGTCAAGCTATTTTCTAAAATGCCTGAAGGCAGGACAAGAAGTAACGGGTGGAAACTAACCAAAGAGAGAAGCAACCTAGAACTAAGGAGAAACTTCCTGACAGTTAGAACAATTAACCAGTGGAATAACCTGCCTCCAGATAGGTGAATGTTGTAACACTGGAAGTTTTTAAGAAGAAACTGGACAGCCATTTGTCCAAAACGGTATAGAGTTTCCTGCCTGAGCAGGGGGTTGGACTAGATAACCTCCAAGGTTCCTTCTAACTTTATCGTCATCATTATCATTATTACCTATTACATATGTCCAGATTAGGATGAAATAGTCATTCCTGAAATCACAAAAGAATATATAGATTCTCTTTCCATTTAGAGAGAAAATATAATGCATCAAATCAAATCTTTCTTATGATCATTGACCAGCATAAGGAGAGTGGGGTACAGTCAATTAAAAAGCATAGAAGATTCATCAGACTCAAAAAAACAAACATTGTGAAAAATGAAGTCATAACAATATATTAAAACAGAAAATACATATAAAAAAGACTATAAAAGAACCTAAAAGGAGGGGTCAGAGCATGCGTGTAGGAGAGCATAAGATTAGTATGTGGAAGACTATATCTACCAAATTAGAGAGCATTCTGGTATGACAAAGGAGATGCTCATTTTGTCTACGGCACAGTCATCCTCTGACAAATTTTAAGTGCTACTGCTCAGAACCTGGCAACACTGTATTTTGTATCAGGGTTGGTACCTGAAAGCAGAAGAGAAATATAGAATTGTCCTTACTCTCTGGATATTTGTGCAGTACTGGTGAGTTGAGGCTTGTACAAATGTCTTTGTAATACAGGCATTGGAGAAGCATAATCTCTGTTGTTTCAGTGTCCAGAGGCACAGGGACATATTTTCTCCAGGTAAGGAACCTTCCTGTATCGGCCTTCAAGACATTGTGCCAGAGTAAAGGGCCTCCAGTGTTTAAGTTAAGGGGAAGCAAAGTATCTGTTGGATTCACTGGCACTTTATGTCTGCTACACACAATTTAATGAGCATTTTGGCCTGATCATATCCTATGCTGAGTAGAAGACTTGGAGAGATGAGATTTTAGTTTCCAATTCCTATTTCCATGTGAACTGAAAATCATTACTCATCATTTAAATTGCCTGTTAAAATGTACAGAGGAAATAATTATTTTTGAATTCACAAAAGAATATATTTATAAAAAAGTATAATGGACGAAAGCTGCTTTTATTTGAGATTATGAATTTTACTATTTTAGCATTTTTCAGTTATTAAATACAGGGGTAAGCAGAAATAGGTAATGATCCACAATCTATTTCCAAAGGTTTCTGTTCACCTTTCAGCTTTTGAGACTCTTACGTAGAATGCTTGATCAACCCCCCACCCCACAAGTCTTCCAGAGGTGTCAGTAAGATGGACTAGGGCCAGTGATGGGATTCAAATATGTGAACAACCAGTTCTCTGTGTGGATGCCACTCCCAGAAGTCCATTCTGGGCCTGGGCAACAAAAAACTAGCTACCGATTCTGCTGAAGTGGTGCGAACTGGCTGAATTCCACCTCTGACTAGGGCCTTCTAATTGGAAATCCAGGGAATAAATAGAAACTAGATGGATGAGAAATGCTGTGGACTAGTCCTAAAAATATAAAAGCAAGAATTATCATTTAAAATAGATTAGTTATTTTTATCTCTTAAAATCTGGTGTTTGTCTATAAAAATTAAATGTATAAGACTATAGTAGTTATAGTTCTTAAAGAACAAAATATATTTATGCAGCTATGAAGTCAATCCTCTTCTACTTCACTTCATCAGCAGAAAGTACATCAATATGAAAGACATCTGTTAACCAAAATATGCTGCCATACTGTGTATTTTAAAAAATTAGCAAGCTAAAGCATTAATT